TGTAACTGGCATATGCTTCATGCAAAAGGTCTCTTGTAAGGTATCATTACAAAGCTTATAATCTACTTAGTGTGATCATCCTATTTGTATAAATGTACCACTCTTGTATCTAAAACTAGAAATATAAAATATAACTCTGAGGGCCTATTGTAATTATGCAAAATGTGGGCCATTAATGGTGATTTGGAATCTTGATGACTCCCATTAACTAGGACTATTGTCTGCAGATGGCTGTGTTTTACCCATGAGTCTTCCTGTATACCTGTGTGCTGGCAAGTGGGTAATGAAGTCTTGCAGTGACATGTGATCATGTCACCTGAACTGGAATCCATCTTTAACCTGGTCCTTTTCCAGTGACGGGGGGTGGAAACCCAGAGGGACAAAGGGTTCCTGCCTTATGCAAAAGATATATAAAGGGGTAGGACAGAACAGAGGGGAGGAGAGGAGCCATCATGAAGAATCCCCTAGCTATCACCTGAGCGGGAACAAGAGCTCCAGGGGAAAGAATTGTGCCTAGGCCTGGAAGGTGTCCAGTCTGAGAAAAAACTTACTGAAGCATCTCTGAGGGTGAGATTATCTGTATTCAGTTTGATTAGACATAGATTTGCACATTTTATTTTATTTTGGTTGGTGACTTACTTTGTTCTGTCTGTTACTACTTGGAACCACTTAAATCCCACTTTCTGTATTTAATAAAATCACTTTTTACTTATTAACTCAGAGTATGTATTAATACCTGGGGGAGCAAACAACTGTGCATATCTCTCTATCAGTGTTATAGAGGGCAAACAATTTATGAGTTTACCCTGTATAAGCTTTATACAGGGTAAAGCAGATTTATTTGGGTTTAGACCCCATTGGGAGTTGGGCATCTGAATGCTAAAGACAAGCACACTTCTGTGAGCTGTTTTCAGGTAAACTTGCAGCTTTGGGGCAAGTAATTCAGACCCTGGGTCTGTGTTGGAGCAGACGGGAGTGTCTGGCTCAGCAAGACAGGGTGCTGGAGTCCTGAACTGGCAGGGAAAACAGGAGCAGAGGTAGTCTTGGCACATCAGTTGGCAGCTCCCAGGAGGGTTTCTGTGATCCAACCTGTCACAGCCTTAACTGTTCACTTCCCTTGTGTAAACTGTAATATTCCTGTACACATTCATTTTGGCCAAAGTTTTCAGATAGCATTTTCATGGGTGCAATGTTCTGTCCACAATTACTTTTGCCTTCAATTTAATAAATGCAGTCATTTAAGTCACTCATGTGTGGTGCACCGCAGTATTTAATTTTCTGCAGGCAAAATTTTCTACAATGATTGGTGGGGTTTTGTTATTCATTGAGCTTATTATGCCATCATTACTATCCAGAGCAGCCAGGGCTTAAATTCTCAGTGATTATTTCCCAGAGGCCTCACTCCCTCATTCGGGGCTCCGGGCTTTTGTCCTGCAGGTGGAAGGGAGCAACAAGGATCATGGCTTTAGCCCCGATGCCTCCCACGGGCTGAAGCCCCGAGCCCCAGCATGTGCCATGGGGCTGAGGTACTGGGGCTCCAGCTGGTTTGAAAATATTTACTGGAGCTAGGGTTGCCAATTTTCTAATCACACAAAACTGAACACCCTTGACTTGCCCCCTGCTCCACCCCCCCACTACCCTTCCCTGCCCCGAGGCCCCGCCTCCCGCTCACTCCATCCCCCCTCCCTCCATTGCTCGCTCTCCCCCCACCCTCACTTTCACCAGGATGGTGCAAGGGTTTGGGATACGGGAAGGGGTGAGGGCTCCAGCTGGGGATGTGGGCTCCGGGAGGGAGTTTAGGTGCATGAGGGGGCTCAGGGCTCGGGCACAGGAGGGGGTTTGGGGTGTGGGCTCTGGTTGGGTGGCACTTACCGCAGGCGGGTCCTGGAAGCAGCCAGCATTTCCCTGCAGCCCCTAGGCAGAAGGGCCAGGGAGCTCTGTGTGCTGCCTGCGCCCTCAGGCGCCGCCCGTGCAGCTCCCATTGGCCACGGTTCCCAGCCAATGGGAGCCGCGGAGCCAGTGCTCTTGGTGGGGGCAGCACATTGAGCCCCTGCAGCCACCCCTGCACCTAGGAGCTAGACATGCTGGCTGCTTCCGGCGAACGTGTGGAGCCAGGGCAGGCAGGGAGCCTGCCTTAACCCTGTTGCGCCGTCAACAGGACTTTTAGCGGCCTGGTCAGCAGTTCTGACCAGAGTCACCAGGGTCCCTTTTCAACAGGCTTTCCGGTCAAAAAACAGATGCCTTGCAACCCTAACTGGACTCTGTTGACAGCAGCAGTTCCCAAACTTTATTGGTTCACATACCACCTTCTTACAAATTTCTCCTTTTTGTGCACATTTTAGGCTTAAATAGATTTAAGATTTAATAGTAAGTATTTACGGACTCATAGTTTAAAAAAAATGTTTTGAATTTGGCTGGTGGACAGGTGTTTGGGAAAAATTAGAAGTGAAGGCAGTTTGGCTGGGGGAGTCTGGGCGGGTGGGTTAGAGGATGTGAGGTTAAGAGTTGGTTGGGAATTCTTAGACAAAATGTTTTTTTCCCCTCAGAAAATGCTGACATGTCAAAGCCAAAACATTTAATTGGAATATACTGGTGTTGGCAAAACTTTCATTGGGAAAGGTTTCTCAGATCCAGGTTGGAATTTCTGGCATAACCAAAGAGAGAGAGAAAGTCTCACTCCAAAATAGCTGAGTGGTCCAGATCTCTAGTCTGCCTGAATCAGACCAGGGACTTGAACCCAGGTCTCACACATCCCCATAACTAGTTATTGGCAGTGGGAGTTTTGAGTTTTTGTGAAAAGCTTCAAAAGGTCCCACTTTCATCCTAATGCAGAATGGGCTAATTCTCAGAATCTCAGTTTTGCAAGATAGGAAAACTTGTTTTCTGCTGTGACAGCTCCCCGGGTACACTCTAGGCTGGACACATCCGTTCAACAGACCCCTCTCCTCTTCACATTACATATCTCTGCTCATAACATCAATGAATACTTGAAGGACATTGTGAACTAAGGGAAGTGGTCCCAGGCTGAAAGGAAATCCAGCCTGTAAATTAAGCATCTGGTAGCGTGAAAAAGAGGTTTGCTTCAAATCTTACTTAGCTTGGTAAAGTTTAGGAATTAGATTGTGGTTTTAGCTGTTTATTTCGTTAGTAACCAATTCTGACTTTTATGCCTTATCAGTAGGGCTCCGTGTCTGTCATGGAGGTTACGGAAGTCACAGATTCCATGACTTTCCACGACCTCTAAGACTTCTGCAGTGACCAGGTGCTGGAGCGGCCCTGGAGACAGCCACACCAGCTGCTGCTCGGGCAGCCCCTGGCAGCGGTCCTGGGGTGGCCGGAGCACCTGCAGTCTGTGGCCCCAGGCAGTGGTCCCTGGGCAGCATGCAGGAGCAGCCGTGGTCCGCTGGCCCTGGCAGTGGTCCCCAGGTGGCTGGCCGGAGCAGCTGTGGTCTGCGGCCCACAGCAGCTGGTGGCGCTGGCCCCGGGCCTGCCCCCGGCAGCTGGTGGCACTGGCCCTGATCACTTCCCCCTCCGCACCCCAGCAGCGGCCCCTCCGGATGCTCCCCCGCAGCAGTGGCCCCCCATGCCCGCCTAAGATTTAGTCATGGGTATTTTTAGTAAAAGTCATGGACAGGTCAATTTTTATTGCACATTACCTGTCCATGACTTTTACTAAAAATACCCGTGATTAAATCCTAGCCTTACTGATCACTCATCACTTAACATCTATCTTTCTCTAGTTAATAAACTTGTTTTATTGTTTTATCTAAACCAATGCATTTTGCTTCGAGTGTTTGGGTACTTGCTACTCAGGTTAACAAAGGTTGGTGCATAATCATTTCCTTTGATGAAAGAACAGACTATTAATGAGCTTGCATTGTTGAGGAGTATGCTGTACAGTACAAGACACATATTTCTCAGGGTGCAAGGCTAGGACTAAGAAGTTGCTTGTGTCACCCTGTATGTAGTTCATGAGTGGCTGGGAAAGCGTTCTTGTAACTTTGCTGGGAGTGATTTTACATGCTAATGGCTGTGTGTGAGCAGAACCTGGAGAGGTTGCTTTTTCACATGTACCACTGGTAGGGAACCTCTGATCTACAGCATATTCAACTGTCCTATGCTATTTTATGCAGTGTAGTTGTAGCTGTGTCGGTCCCAGGATATTAGAGAGACAAGGTGGGTGACGTAATATTTCTACTCTGTTTTAGTGATAGTGGGCCAAATTTTGCTGCTGTTTACATCTTGTAACTCCACTACCTTCAGATTTCCCCCTCAGTTACACTCAGCTGATTTCACTGCAGTTGCTGCTTGGTCCAGAATTTGGCCTACTGGGTATAATGCCATCTCTAGTTTACAGAATTATAGGAATCACTAAGAGAAGATCAACATGTGGCTGTACATTTTTCAAAATGGTAACTACACCTATGCCTGGAGATGGATGCAAATTCATGAAAAGCCTGTTTATTGTCAGGATTTTTCAGAATGGTCTGAGAAAAGAGAGCGGTTCCTATGGGAACTACGATCTGCAAGTTTACACCTCTAAAGAAAATATGGAGTCAAATTCATTGCTGCTGAAAATAGGTGTATTGACTTCAGTAGAGCTGCTGCTGCTTAAGGAAGTTGGAAACTCTTAAACTTTTGATGGTATACACAGGACCGGCTCCAGGGCTTTTGCCGCCCCAAGCAGCCAAAAAACAAACAAACAAACAAACAAAAAGCTGCGATTGCGGTCTGCAGCACTTCCGCCACGACTCTACTGCCGTCGCTTCTTCGGCAGCAATTTGGCGGCAGGTCCTTCCCGCCGAGAGGGAGTGAGGGACCCGCTGCCAAAATGCCACGGAAGAGCCGGATGTGCCACACCCTTCCATGTGCCGCCCCAAGCACCAGCTTGCTAGGCTGGTGCCTGGAGCTGGCCCTGGGTATACATAAAATGGAGAAGGCTGGAGAATAACAAAAGTAGACAATACAATGGCTTCATTTTTGTTTATTAATGTTTGGTTAACAGGCTTTGGATACAGATTTCAAGTAAAAGAGGCTTTCTATCCACACAACATACAACAAAAAGACACAGAGAATCTAAACATTTTCCAGCCAAAGTCAAGCGACTCCAGGTATTCAAGTTAGGCACTAACCATCATTTATGTTATTCTAGTGAGATTTTCCCCCCCTTACCTTCAATTTTTCAACTTTTTTGTTCTCACTTGTATGTTTTAGCTCCTGTCCTTGAGCATTTCGAGTGTAAGGGTGTCTAGCTGGTTTAGAACACAGTTATAGAAGACAAACGGGTGGGATGGGGGGGGAAGAGTAATATTGATAGCACTCACAGAATATGGTACCTTTGCAGTTTACAACAAAGAAAAATAATTGATGAACAGAATCCAGTACTAGAAGGGAAACAGTAGAACTGTAATAATTTTAATGCAGACAAATGTATTACATATTAGCAATAATCAGCGTCTTAGAATATATTATAATCAGTAATTAAATATATTTTAATCTACTATCACAGTAAGAATGTACATATTGTACTAGCTAAGAAAAATCTGCAAAGTTATTCAAAATTGCCTGATTAATTTTATTTTTCCCCTCATCTAGCAACTACATTATATCCTGTGGAATTTGGATATTCTGCTAAAGTGCTCTTACTAGGCTTCATAGTCATCATCAATGTTAAACAACATGAATCACCACAGATTGTGTCAGCTTGTGAACAAAAGGCACAATGGATCTGGGTTCACGCATTGACCTAACATTGGTTTCCAGAAGCCATTTCACCCACGAATAGATTTTATAGCTGCATAAGAGGAACACCATGGTTATGGTGTTTCTTCTAATCACCTAGTTTTCACAAATGATGCTTTTGTTCTTGAATTGATTACATGGCCGATTTTTTTTCCAATAAAGTAAAGTCAACACTTCAAGGCAACAATTATACCTCCCTTAACTACCCACCCTTTACCTTCCAAGGCAAAATAGGGCACAGGAAAGTGTGAAAAAAAAGCCTTCACCATTTCCTTATGAATTATAACAAGTCACCTCACCTCTGGAATTTAGAAACAAGTAAATATGAAACCCAGATTTCCGCTTGCTGCTAAGTCAGGGGCACTGTAAATCTACAGACCTTTCATTCCTTGTTTTAAAAAAAGCAATTGGAGCAAAATCTTTTATTATTTTTAAAAATATATTTTTACTACATTTAGAATATTTCAGTTATAAAAATGGCTATACTTTTTTCAAACTGATTACTTAGTGTTTGGATTAAAGCTGCATGGAAACAACTTTTTGGTGAAAATGTATTTGTTTCTCAATGAAATTTAATTTTGTCAGAAATTTTCCGACCCGGTCTAGTAAAAACTCATTATTATGCATTTCCCATTCAGTTACTATGAGACAGGTTTTAATTTCAGTTACAGTAGTAAATCCAGGCAACGCCACTGATTTCTGTGGAATTATCTCCGATTTACCCTATCCTACCCAACATTATAATCTGACTTGTCTTGTCCTGCACAGAGCTGTTTATCTACTTACTGCACAAAAATATTGGTCCATCTGGTGGAGGAGCTGTAATTCTTCTCTGGTTACCAGACACAAGTGTTTTCTAATGTGAAGTTTGTAAAAATTATTTCAGTATGGGAGACTTATTGGCTAGGAAGCCAGAAGACAAAGCAGCTTCCTTTGTTTTGAGACCAGAATAATGTATTTTTTTAAGCAAACACTTAAGAGGAACAATATGACATCTAAAATCCTCAGCTTCACTCAGTCTGTTGATCATCTATATACAGTGCACCACATTCTGTGCTTATATACCCTTATAATTTCACTTGAACTCAATGAAGTTACTCTGAATTTATAATAGAGTAGCCAAGAGCAGTGTTTTGCTCAGTGGCTCAGTCACCTGCCTGAATGTTGCCTGGGTTTTCAGACTATTTACCACATCTTCCTTTTCTTTGTTGCATTTGAAATCAGTTTTTTTTTTAAACATCTAGATCCAGGGAATTCTAGCTCCTTTGATATCCATTTATTCTTTTAGTTTACCCCAGAAATGGCAGTCTGGAATTCATATTTTAAATAAGAGTCTTAATAAGATCAGTGGTCCTGGGGCCCATCCCCTGCAATATCAAAGGCCTGGTCCCCACTAAGCCCCCACTTCGGACTAAGGTACGCAAATTCAGCTACGTTAATAACGTAGCTGAATTCGAAGTACCTTAGTCCGAACTTACCGCGGGTCCAGACGCGGCAGGAAGGCTCCCCCGTCGATGCCGCGTACTCCTCTCGGCGAGCTGGAGTACCGGCGTCGACGGTGAGCACTTCCGGGATCAATCCGGGATCGATTTATCGCATCTTAACCAGACACGATAAATCGATCCCAGAACATCGATTGCCTGCCGCCGGACCCTCCGGTAAGTGAAGACGTACCCTAAGTTTTATAGGGTAACATAGCGAAGGAGTGCTTGAACTGCACATTTCTTTTATTCTGTGGGTTTATCGGAATCGTAGGCACATATTTTCAACATGGACCTTGAATTATATTTATGGTTTACATTTCTGAAAGTAATATTTCATACTCCACAGTTACCGTGGATGGAACAAAAACGGACAGTGATGCAACAATAAATCATCTTTGACTAATGTGGGAACAGGAGCAACATTTTACAGTCACAATTACAGTGGTATTATGTCAAAGAGGTTTGTTACACATTACACCACATAAATTAGCAGCTTTAAAGACCACATAGCATCATGTCACACAACATAGTTTACAGATTATTCTTCAAATAAATCATTTCCTCAGAAAAGAATTTAGAAATACAGAGGGAATCTGGTGATTTCATGAAAAGTGTCAGGTAGTGCACAGATTACAATTACAGATGAAATCCTTACACAATATTTCAAGATGTATCACTATAGAGTAGACTGATTTTTTTTAATTCAACATAAAATATAATTCAAAGACAGCCCAATCCCCTTTTAATCATTAATAATAATTTATATGATGAACAATGCCTCAAAGAGACCATAGTAATTAATGTTATTTTATATGGCTTCAGAGCAAATGAATTTTTGAGACTTACATTGCTGTAAGTATGATATAGATTTACGTAAGTTAGGCTCCAGTATAATCTTTACTTTTTCTGTTTTTAAATATGTGTAAACCTAACATCTGTTTTCAAGATTTAATTTTTTTCTTTTAATGAAAGAAAGTAGCATTGGTTATAAAACATGTACTTGGTATGTTAGAAATCCCAGAACAGTAGCATTGTGCTGGTATATGAGAATATGAGAACAAAACTGACCAGACTATTTTCATGGTCCAGTCTGGGAAATTACAAACATGTACTCAAATGGTAGAAATTATATAAAGTAAATTCGTACTTTAATAATTTTGCTGTTCAATATTCTGAGATGTTAACAGTTAATGATTTTTTGAAAATCATTTCAATGTAAATTAATTAGAATACATCACTCACACTTAAAACATTTCTACCAATTTGTAGGAAATGTCTCTCAATGTAAAGTCTATCAAATCAACAGAAACATTTAAAGCATGACCACTGTAGGATCATTGGCAGCAGATCCTGGTACTGGGAGGAAGTAGGAAGGTTGTGGAGAGGATATGTACCCCAAGGAGAAAAAGAGAGCAGGGAATGGGGTGCCTGGGGAAAGGGCCAAATGATATCAGGCTGTGCAGATTCTCCTGTTCTCCCTTCCCAGACAGGGCACAGGGGATGTAAGGATACATAGAGCATACTTCAGCTCAGGGGAGCAGCGTGGGTTCCTCCACTCCTGCTTCTTCCCAGCACCCCATCCAGCTAGTTGGACTGAGCAGTGGTTTCTGGATTTAGGTCAATTTTTCATCTAAGCGGAGTGGATTCTTAAATGTTCAAAGAATTACACTGTGGGAAGTGGTGGTGTGTGGGGAGGGTGGGTGGGAGTGAGGAAACAGTCTATTCTTCTCTTGCCCTGTTCAGGTAGTCAGGAGAACAAACCCCTTTAAAGTTAAATACCTATTGTTTTCACTATTTAAAGCTTTGAGTTGGTTCTTCTACCTGCCAAAAGGCCAGCACTACATTCCAGTGACATCAGGTCTATAAACATTTTATTATTGAAGTCAAATCCAAATAAAATGTGCATATTCCTCAGTTAAAAAGTGTTTCTAGTTCCCTACTTACTTGCAGCACCAGTTAGGCAGTCAGATACTACACTGATATAGGCCATAGAATTATAGTAAATCCTCACTTAAAGTCGTCCAGGTGAACGGTGTTTCGATGTTAAGTTGCTGATCAATTAGGGAACATGCTCGTTTAAAGTTGTGAAATGCTCCCTTCTAACGTCCTTTGGCAGCCGCCTGTTTTGTCCACTGCTTGCAGGAAGAACACCCCGTTGCAGCTAGCTGGTGGGTGGTTGGAACCAGGGTGGCCCAGCAGCCCTCCCTATCAGCTCCCCACTCCCCTAAGTTCCCTATGCAGCAGCTGCCTGCAGTTCAGCTGTGTACCTCCCCTCACTGCCATGTTCTGCTCCTGCCCTCTGCCCAGATACTCCTGCTTGCTGTACAGGGGGAGGGGCGAAGAGAAGGGCTAATGTCAGGGTGTCTCCCCCTACTCCTGCACCCCGCTTACCCCATCTTCCATAGAGTGTGTGGGGGGGAGGGGACACACACTATGGAGGGAGCTTCTACATAGTAGCTGTGGTCTCTCAGGAGGTCTCAGCAAGCTGATTTAATTAACAGGGCAGTGTACTTAAGCCTGGGGTCAGCTACTTAACGGGGAAATGCGCATTTTTTCCTCTCGCACACAGGGTGTGTGTGTCTCTGTCTGCCCTCCCTCCTTTCCTGCTGCCTCATAGAGTGTGAGAGTTAACCCTTGAGGGCTCAGTCAATTGCTAGTTCATTTAGCAGTGAGGCATTCCCTGGAAAATATCCCACCCTCTAACTCCTCCACCTCAACCAAGCTTTACAATCATCATCACTGTGTACCAGTATTAAATTGTTTGTTTAAAACTTATACTGTGTGTGTGTGTGTGTGTGTGTATGTGTGTGTGTGTATATATAATTAGTCTTTTGTCTGGTGAAAAAAAACTTTCCCTGGAACCTAACCCCCCCATTTACATTAATTCTTATGGGGAAATTGGATTCGCTTAACATCGTTTCGCTTAAAGTTGCATTTTTCAGGACCATAACTACAACATTAAGTGAGGAGTTACTGTACCTATGTAGGCAAATAGAATTAGCAATATGTAGAACATTGCATTTTAAGAGGATGGTTGCCTCCAAAGCTAACCCTTTTTAAGGGAAGGTAGAGGAATCTATATAGAAAACTGTTACATTAGGAGCTATTAGAGTTCCTCTAATTCCTTTCTTACCACTGGCTCTGCCACCTAGGAAAGCAGATGTCTTCAAGGGCCACTTGCAAAACTACCATGATTACAAATAGACCCGGATAGTGCTCCAACTGTGTTATAATAAGATAATTTGGTCCTGTCTACATAGGCAAGAACAAACAGTGTTAAAACCATTTATAGAACTCCTTACAGCCCTGATTTTTACAGGGCCATAATCATGGTATAATGCAATCAGGAGACCATGTTACACCGCAATTTGCTGACAGTCATTTTGGTAGTGTAGCTGGGCCATATAATATCAATAGCTATATTTCCCCCCTCATAATTCCCCCTCCCACTAAAGAAAACTCGGCAGCATGGAGAAAATCAATTAACACTCCTTACCCCATTCCCATTCCTCACTGCTGCTGCTTGTCCTGTGCTTTCAGAAGGTCAGTTGCTAGCTTTGAGATGTGCTTCCAGGCAAATTGGATATGGACAGACTCCACTGTGCGGGAACAAATGGCAAAACGTAGCACAAACTTCTCTCTCAGGTGACATGGAACCAGATGGATCTTCCTGGCATCATTTATGCTTTTAAGAAGGGCCTCATTCAGTTCATTGGAGCCCTGAAATAATTGTAAACCAATAAACATGAACTTTAAATGCCGGTTTGTTACCTCTTGGTCCCACCAACCAGCACTGTCTACCTAACTATAATACCAGCACTAGTCTGCACCCATTAATTCTTCCCATGACCCAAATTCATCAATCCTTTGCCACCAAAAGTTTGTGGGAATACAGTGGGTCATGGGATAATTCTTCAGTCATTTTGTGAATCATGGACCCCAAATCGTTGAGAAGCAGTGGTCTAGGGCATTTCTGATGCCAGACAACTTTTGCGGGAGCAGAGGTCATCAATATCTGCAACTTTATATACAAATGTTCATTATTTTAACTGCCTAATATTTTAAGAGCTAATCAAAGACCATTAGGAAAAAGTTTTGCAATGAAATATTAATATTTGTGAACTAAATCCTTCAGTTTTTACTCAAGTACAACTCCCATTGAAGACATGTTTGAATAGAAAGATAGAAAGGACTGGGGTGGGTGAGACGGTTAAGCCAAATTCATGCAAGGCTTAAAGTCAAGGAATGAATTTTGCTTATAGTAGCAGAAACGCTAAAAAAAAAGTCTGCATTGTTAGAGAACTTGTTCCTCCATATAATACCTATTAGTGATGACCTGCAGCTTTGCCACCCAAGTTTATGGTTTTATAGGAAATATGAGTGGAGGCAGGAGAGTGTGTACATGGTGCTGATGATTTCATGATGATTTGTGAGAGTGGTGGATAAGGGGTATGTTGCAGCGAGGGCCTAGGTGTGTTTGGGGTATTTTGTGTCAAATGGATGTGGCAGTTGGGCCAAGTAATCCACCATCTGTGTAGTCTTCACACAATGAAATGCAAATTAGCTGTAGAGTAAGGGTGGTGACTGAGTTTTCTTTGACATCACAATGGTCTAGGACTCTTGGCATAGCATAGATACATTACATTGCATACTTTACAGTAGCTGTATACTGCACAGCTGTATTTTGTAAAGTCAAAATGGCTGAGAACTTAAAAGTTGGACAGTAAGAGACAATGTACTCCTGTCATGATTTATCCTGGTGATATTCTAAACAGAAAGCCCTCAACCATGCTTGTAGCTGTTTCCATCACATCAAATGACTTTGTAAACATTCTAGGCTTCAGAGTGACACAAAGACAGATGACAATGCTGGAATCTTATTATACAGATTAAGTTATCAGGCATTAGAGTTTTTTAGAAACATGAATAAATTAATTCTCCCCACTGTCAGGTAGGTTGTATTCCTTTTCCATAGATGGGGAAACTGAGGCAGAGAGGTTAAAATGACTTGCTGAAGGTCACAGAAGGAGTCTCCCATGCATGAATCATTAGATTATGCTTCCTTCCATTGCAGTGGCACCTTGAAATGCCTTCTGTACTCTCCATTGCTGAGTGGTAGGATTTTATTTTTGAGAGTGACCAGTGTGGTGCCAGTTCCAACTCCTAATGTTCCAAGCAGTGCTTTTGAGAGGCCTGAACCTCCACTTGGACTCAGTTAGAGTCGTATTAGTCATTCCCCCAGGTAAACATTTGAAAGGGCCATGTTTATCAGTTAAGGTTTGGGACTGAAACAGATTTTTCCAAAGAAAAATAAATGGTTTTAAATTAATCTTTTAAAAAAACATGCACAAACTATCCAAAGGGACCCAGTCCTGCTTTTACTGTATTAGCACTGCAGGATAAAATGCACTTTTATAAGTCTTTATTATTACGCCCTTTTAGGGGAATGTACCTAACTCTTATACCAGCAGGTTGGGAGTTACATCCTGAGCCTTGCGAACCATTTTGGAGTACTTTTTCAGGGTAGCCTTTGTTGACCTTAAGTGTTGACAATTGTTTTGCACAGATACATCTGAGGTTATGCAGCAACTCCTCAGTTGCTTCTGTCATACTGCCCGGTAAGTACTGTAGGTGAAACAGGTTTACACGGGAGGCATGGATTGCTGGTGTCAGAACACTGCATCAAGCAATTCAGAAATGAAGCTTTCAGGGGCAGATTTGCAATAGTACCTAAAAAATTTAGGAACACAAGCCCAATATGACCTATGATCCTAACTCCCTTAGGTGCTTTTGAAAACCTCTCCTTTAGAACACATGCTATTGCTCTTTCAGTACTATACACAGTGGCAAGCCTTACTAATCTTGCCCTTATGGAAAAAAAAAACATACTGAAGGTAATTGAGTTTCCCTACTGTCACAAGTGGGAAACATCTTCTTCCACACACCCTTTTTGATCATGTTACAATAGAGATGGTCCCAAATCAAAATGTATGCAATTTACCCTGTACTTTGGGGAAGTCTGACGCCTGGCCCTTATCTCTGTAGAAAACCATGATGAAACTTGAACTATGCTCTCACTACTGTTCACAATGACAACAAACAACACACTGAATTTTGTGTTGGTGAGCTTTCTGTCCTGGGCACATCAATTGTGACAGTGAAATATACATCTCTTTGTTCTGGATGATAATCCATCATAAAATCAATGATCCTTTCCCTCTATATTAAACATGTAGTTCAACAGCACAGCATTAGCATTTAGGTCTCCGTTATCTCATGTTAAGTTACTGCTCTCTGGAAAAATAGCTGTGCACATCTTTTTTCTCTTATATTCCCACAGAAGCACTTAGGGGTTGCTTTGACACTCTGGTGTCACATCAAATTGAAGTTAGTGAGGACTAGTCCCCTCCCAGAGCTTTGGGAGGCAAGTAGCCAGCACTGATCGAGCATGTCAGTTTTAATAAGACATTGTTCTTCCTGCCCCTCAGAGAAATGACCAACTTTTCTCATATTCATCTGCAGTCATGACAAGGGAACCAAAAATTAACCCATTGACACATTAGCCCCCAGATTTCTTCTTTGGCCTTTGGAGAGCGATCTGCCATATGATATCTAGGCATTATTAGTGCATCTCTTCAACAGTGTGAAAGGAAAAAATGCACAGATTAAAGAGTTTTAATTAAGCAAGACAATGAAAAAAGTTTAATCAAATAAAAGGGGGAAAATTAACCTTTTCACTATCTCTAGATATTGCATTAAGTTTTCTTTCTAGGTATGCTGCACTATCACCCCAATCCCCCATTACAAGCAATACAGTAGAGCTGCAAGTACATTCGATTTAAAGGGGATTTTACTGGGAATTTGATAAACATAAAACTTGATTTTGAAAGAATGATTCAGAAAGTGAGTAAAGCCACAGAGACAAGGGTGGGCAGCGCTGCATACAAAAATTTGTGCAAAAGTGATAAAATCCAAAAAGGAGGAGGGCTTGAAGGCCTTGCTGCCTCCAGGTTGCTAAAGAATCTAGCATTGCTAGAGCCAAGCCTTTATTCTGAAAAGTGCCCAAGACATCCAGCATCTGCCCACTATTTCATAATTGTCCATTATGAGGGTCTTACACCTTCCTTTGAGGCATCAGAGACAGAAGACTGGACTTAAATGGACCATTGGTCTGATCAAATGTGACAATTCATGTGTTGCCATGCTCCACTTCACCAGGAATGCTCCTTGAAAGTACAGATAGAGCACTAACAGCTGTCACCGGACCTACAAAAATCTCTGTTTGCTTATTCCATGTGAGAAAATAGGTCTAAAAATATTTTTCATGTCAGCAATAACTTCCACAAGCCCTATGCCTCAAAACTTTCCATGGAGCTATTGAAAAACTTATTATTAGGAAGAAAAAAATATTCAGAACTGTTAACAGGCCTTTGCTAATCAGAAAAACTCCACAATACATGTTGCATCTGTTCTACCAGCAGGGGATCCTTTTTTATTGACAGCACAGGCACAAAAGAAACTACTTTACTACCCTAGCTCAGTCCAGCCTTTACTGAAACCCTCATTGTTAGGCATTCATCTTGATTCCTCAACCAGTTGCATCAAACCCCAGGTAACTGGGACAATTGAACAACCAAGAAAGGAATGTCTGAAAAATAACATCATGTCATCAAAAGAAGCTGGATTTGCTTGTTAGTATTAAGAAAAGTTAAAAGCACACTTAGGTACTTAACAAGGAATCTCAGTGTTGTTCATATTCAGTGTTCCAGTTCAGCTCATTAAGGTGCCAGCTCCCGCTCCATAATTAGTTAACACTGAATTGAGTTTTGCACTTGAAACAGGGATTCAGCCTTCTTTATGACGTATGAAGAATACTGTGTACCCTCCCCAGTGTACAGCATTTACTTTGTACAGCAGATGTACAGCATTTACACGGAGTACAGAATGAATTTTGAGTGTTTATAAGTAAATATGTTAATTGGTTTATAAATAATAATTTAAATTAGGCCCTTTAAGAAACTTAGCACTCAGTCAGACTTTTTTTGTTCTGAACGATATTAACAGAACAATGCAGACTCTTTAAACTTTACATATAGTTAAAATTCACTGTGCATAGGCTACATTTGGATAAATTAGGTTGTAACTATGCTAAGTTATTAACAATTGTTGTAGCTAATTATATAGGGTACAAACAGATTCTGGTCAACATCTCTGGTTACTCTGATGTCAGAGTTAACAGCAAATCATCCGCCTTCCTCCACATCTAATTTCCATGCTACAATTCCATTGGTATTAACGAGTCAGTGGTATGAGAGATGGGACTCATGCAGCAAGAGTTCTCATTGGTAGATAAATTGTCCCCAGCTGTCCTTGCCCCTTAAAGGTTCCAGGGCTCCATGTTGGCTTAGAATATCTGTGCTTGAAAGGCTGCCCAAGGCACTGCTGTCTCCACTCCACTGTGCACTAGCACTGAGGTAGCACTGTCTCCCTAACACAGCCCCCTTCCCTACCCCAGAACCTGCTTCCCTCTGCTCTACCTCCTCACATTCTCCTCCTGTTTTCCTAACAGCCTCACTTACTTCCATGTCATGGCCACTTCTGCCTCTTCTTGGCTCTCCACAGTACTGCTTTATGATATCTGGAGAGTGAACTATGTGTGAGGGGGAGAGGGAAACAGACATGCACATGGCCCTGGGGAAATTATGGCTGTATGTGGGGATGAGGGTTATATTAGAGAGACTAGTGCTATGCAAACAGGTGGGCCCATGGTGGGACATAAGGTGTGGGGAAGGAGACCAATCCCTGAGAGATGTCTCTGATTTAATGGACTGCCCCTGTAGTACTGCTATGGTACTCAGAGGAGCCAAAAGAGAAGGGCCACTGGGAGTCTTTCAAGTGTGGATGTCTTGACACTAGCTCCCCACCCTAGGCCTCTGCCTGTGCACAGCTCTATTCTCCTCAACACAGGACTCCCTTGCCTATTCCCACCTATATCTCATGCATGTCTCCCTGTTTTTTTCCCCTCTACCCTTGACATTGCCATTGGATCCTCCTGTATCCCCTATATTCTCACATTCACACCCTGACACTTTCCCCTACTCCAAACACCACCAGAGAACCCTCTTCTCTCAGTAATATTCCTCTATGCTGTCACCCACATCTTGTCCCAATGTGGTCCAGTCCGCTTCCAGGATTTTATAGATAGTATTCACTTTTTCTTTCAATTATAATAATAGAATTCTGCTTTCATATTCTGGAATGTTATTTGCCAAGTTAAATTATATATGGTAAAGGTTTTAAAAAATATATCCTGTATCCTGAATAACTAAGACAATTGCAAACTAAGGGCCAAGATCACCAATCTATCTCGACTCATATGTGCCAATCTGGTGATGCAAGGCAACTATAAGCCTAATTTACAGGTCAATGCACACTGGTTGCTTTGTACTGCTCTAGAATTACCCAGCATACTAGTAAATCTGGCTCTAAAAGTAAAAAAAAAAAAGATTTATTGTTGATGGTTCTCATCTTCAAATTATAAGAAATAACATATGGTAACTTTCTTGGGTTTCTGGTTTAGTGTTCATGACTGACATTTTAATAATTAAAAACACCCCACACTAAAAGAAGCTCCCAGAATACTCCTGCCCTCCACATATTAAGATGGCAATAAGGTTAACAGTACATTCAATAATTTAAGATTAAAACATAACACATTACAGGGATGTTGTAATTCTCCCCAAAACAAGTATTATAAATTCAGAGTTAAGCTTAAACTGAAAAGAAATCCTATCATATTCAGGTATGGGAAACCACAGTTTTGGCACCCAAACAATCTTAACAAGGCTCTATAATGACACTCTGAACAAACATGGGTTTTAAAAAACAGTTTAATCTAAATCCTAAAATGCTTTAATCATATGGCTATTGCATAGTGTCAATACAGGGCAGTGTTATGGTTGTTCAGGTGCCTTTTAACTGTGCATTTCCATACCGTAACATGCTAGGATTTCTTTAAATTTAATCTTATGCTAAAAAAGAGAATCTGGCTCAAGATTGCTTCTTTGATCCTCTTTGGTTTATGTAGAGTGTGTATCAAGAGTTTTCTACAATTTAAAATAAATAAATAAATAAATTAGCTATAACAATATTTAATCCAGTGCAATATATTCTATCAATACCTTCAAAAAACAAGAGGGAACATTAAAATAGCAATGGTTTTTTCTACCTTTAGTCGGAAGCACACCAGTCCCAGTGTGACCTCAGCACAGATCTCAAATCGTTTATCCTGAAGTACCAAGTTTTCAAATTCATGTGACAGTTTTACATGCTAGAGAGAGAAAGAAAGCAAAGTCTATATTGTATCAATCAGATTAATCAAAGGATAACATTTGCCAATCTGTTTACACATTCTGCCCCTCAACCCTTTACAAAAACGTCTAGAAGCCACATGCTAACACTCTGTCTATTCATATTAATTTACATCTTGTTCATAACTTTTAGAGACTTTATAGGTCAGAGATCTTCCTACATGTCTGGCACTTCTGGCCCACTGTATCTATTAAGGCATTTCTAATGTGCTTGTCACAGTAGTATCTAGACACCATTGTAAAATATCATCCCAATTTATGGTGTCATATTAATAATAAATAATAGTAATTCCAAGTAACAACTTTTTCTTTTATCCTGAACTAAAATGGGATTGAAATGCTCCCTTACCCCCAGTGCTGCCAAGTACTCTCTGTGTGTGTGTGTGTGTGTGTGTGTGTGTGTGTGTGTGTGTGTGTGTGTGTGTGTGTGTGTGTGTGTAGTAGTGTGTGTA